TCCTTAGTTCTCATTATTTCTTCTTTATTTAATTAATTAATCAAAATAACTATAATTCTGATTATTTTAAATATTCTAATTCATCTATTCCTTCCTCCACCCTACCAATGCTCTTACTACAACCTATCTATGGCCCACATCTACATATACAACTCAACATACATATTCATTTAAAAGCACACCAAATATCAAATAATTAAATAAAATAAGAATAATTTGATTAATTAAATTAATCAAATTCTGGGATGTTACACTTGCCGCCCATAGTGGCTATAAGAATATTGGATCCCTTGGTGAGATCCTCGCCACTCATATAGGTGATGAATACGAAAAGTCCTTTTATGAGATCCTTGTCACCCATAAAGGTGATCAAATTGTTGGATCCCTTAGTGGAATCCTTGCCGCTCAAATATAGGGGTGACAAAATGGATGGAATGCATGGATATGCATTGGATTATTAATTGATGGATCAAAATAATCCATTAAAATTTCTTTTAAAATATCCAATTCAATCCATTCATTAAAAAAAAATTCGCCTAATCCATCCAATAACATCTTTTTAATGGATGGATATCCTTCCATCGATAAAATTAATATAAATATTTTAATTAATTTTTCTTAATAATGTGTTTTATTTTTAAATTTTACAAACGTGACTTTTTTTAATGTCTTATATATATATATATATATATATATATATATATATATATATATATATATATATATATATATATATATATATATATATATATATATATATATATATATATATATATATATATACACACATATATATATATATATACATATATATACATATATATATATATATATATATATATATATATATATATATATATATATATATATATATATATATATATATATATATATATATATATATATATATATATATATATATATATATATATATATATATATATATATATATATATATATATACATATATACATATATATATATATATATATATATATATATATATATATATATATATATATATATATATATATATATATATATATATATATATATATATATATATATATATATATATATATATATATATATATATATATATATATATATATATATATATATATATATATATATATATATATATATATATATATATATATATATATATATATATATATATATATATATATATATATATATATATATATATATATATATACATATATATATATATATATATATATATATATATATATATATATATATATATATTTGGTTATTTATATTAGTGGAATGAATACTTTGAGAAAGATTAAAATACTATTGCAATTTTAAACTAATTAAAGAGACGATTGAAATGTAGAATCTCTTAACCTGATCCTTGTCGCTCATAGAGGCGGTAAAAATGTTGGATCCCTATCTGAAATCCTTGCCGCCCATAGAGGTAATCAGGACGCTGAATCCTTGAGTAGGATCCCTGGATTTGCTTGAAGTTCTTAAAGGCATTCAAATTACTACAAAGAAAACAATGATAACAGACTCCCTCAACAAAGGGAGAAAGGATTAATTGTACAGAAATAGCTACGAAAGAGAATAAAAATAATTAGCATAAAAGGCACCCCAAAGGGGCACCACTATCTGTACAAATACAAAAAGATCCCGAAGAGGCAAAAAAATACAACAAAAAGGCCACTAAGGGTCAAGAAACACTATAATCGAATTAATAATTCTCCTTCTGGGTCATATCCTTCCTAATAGGATTCACTGGATGAGGGACTCTAGACTCACCGCCATCCATCGCCTCACACTTATCATGGATGTCCTCGATGGGAGCGGGACTTTCAGGCCTTTTAGACACCACCGCCTCCTCATCCACCAGCTATCCACCACATAAGACTTAGAGAAAAATCATTTAGCTTAGGTCCAGGTTGGGGTAGAGGAAGGAAATCTACTTCTTGGTGAGCTCGAAGTGGATTCCAAAAGTAGACCCCACATTCTTAGTGAGCTTTGGCACCTCCTTCTTCAAATTCTTTTGACGAAGAAGGAAGTTGTTTAGAGATTTCTGTAGGAATTCCTTCTCAGCAGAGATCTCTTCGGCCTTGGCCTTCACATATGTCATCTTCTCCTCCAAATTCACCTTATCTTTCTGGAGGACATTCAACAACCTTTGGCTCTCATTTTAGGTATCCACATATTATCGAAGATTTACCTCTAGCTCTTTCTTAGCATTGTCTTGCCTCTTCTGGTCAGATTCTGCAACATGACCATCCTCATGCTTATAATAGTTGAGCTCAATTCGTAACGAAAGGCTTGATAATCAGTAGGAAACTCCTTGGAGAAAGGAAAGTGAGAACTTTTGAATAAGAGTGTGTCAAAACTAACATCACTCTACAAAGTTGAAAAATATGAGGGAGCCTCGCCTATGGAATGCGCTAGAGTGGTCGCCTTTGTAGAAGTAGGCGAGGCAGTGTCAGCAGTGAAAAAATGACCCTCCTCTAGCCTTTGAGCCTTCATGTTAGGCGAGTTTGGAGTCAGGTCCTCAGCTTGCCTCTTCCTCCCTTTGATAGTAAAAGCCTCAGGGTGACTCTAGGGACTGTTAGTGTCTAGACGAATAAACTAGATATTTTCCCACCTTTGTCTCTTGTCTTCAACAAAAATCCACACCATTTTATCTGCAAAACAATGTGCAAATGTCAAGTATACTGTCTAAAAATAACTACAAAGGAAAACAAAATATAACTTACCTAAATAAATAGCGAGTTGTTGGCTACCGTTCAACCAAAGTCTAATCACTTCACATTAATCCATAACCTCTAATTTCCACAGGAGGCGGACAATCCTTTCCTCCTCGAGGGTAAGGATCATCACAAGGTCACTCGTTCAAAAGATGGGAAAGACGGGCTCCGTCATCCTCTAATACCTCTAGGGAATCATCTCGCCCCCTCACACAAACGAACTTGTCCTTCCAATACTTGTAGTGGTTAGAGTGGGACATAAAACGGGCCTTCCATGGCTGACCAATTAAAGATACCCATCTATCCTTCGCCGACTTGGTGGTGTAAAAAGCAAAAAAGACTCCAACGCTCGGAGTGATGTCCAAGTCCTGCTCGTCTTGAAGGCTCTGATATAACCTCAATGGTTAGGGAATAAATGGGAATGCACAAAATTTAGAACCTTTAAGACCTCCATGGAAAAGGGGGAAAAGAACCCCCATATCCTTGATGAAAGGGAGGTAAAAGTAGAAATGTGAAGAAGGAGGATCAAAGGAGACATGCATGGTGACCCTTCCCAACGGAGAACAAGCGTCTAGAATAACTATGTCTTCATCCTCTAAAGAGGAAATCTCCACTCCTAGTTAGAAATGAAGGATTTGTTCATCTGAGGTATAACACAATCTAACATCTTTGACTTCCTTAGACATGATGGAGGAGGTAGACATTGTCTCTTTGTTCCTGAGAAAATAGTATGATAAAAAAAAATCACCACCATTGTCGCAATCATCAAAGGGGGGCAACCAATACCCTAAAAACCTACGACCATACACTTTGCCTAAACCCTATTATAAATTTTCTTCGTAAAATTTGGTCACAATAAAAATCAAGAGAAAGGGAAATTCATAATTGGAAGAAGGTTGTTCACGAGGAAGCATGAGAGATGAGAAATTGGGCAATTTATATGAGCTTTTGGAGCTAGGGAGCGAAATGGAGCAGATGAGATAAAACAAGGAAGATTTTATAGGGGAGTTGGAACCACAAGGGGTCTTTTAGACTCTCTTATAAGTTTGAAAAAACTTAGCACGTTTCTGACATGTGTAGTACGTGTTTAAGGTCTCGAAAAGCAGGTAATCATTACTTACATTAAATGAAAGTAAGCGTGACCACCTGAATGATTGATTAACAACTTTTAAGGTCTCGAAAAGCAAATCATCATTACTTACAGGAGACATCTGACAGATGACTCATCCCTCAATTAAGAGCTTATGTAATTAAAAAGGTCACTTTCAGCTGAAGGACTCGCCCAAAGTTGAGAGATTTGCCTTAATTAAGGGCTTATGCAATTAAAAAGGTCACCTTCAGTTGAGGGGCTCGCCTAAAGCTTAGGGAATATTCTCTTTATAAAAATTCGCCTTCAGCCGAGGGACTCGCCCAAAGTCGGAGGACTTGTCTCTTAATTAAAAAATCGTCATCGTGTGAGGGACTCTCCATAAGACTAGGTATGTGCCTAACAAATGATAAAAGGCGTTAAAAACATTTCTCTCTTCATAAAAGTCCTCGTGCTTGAGAGACTATGTAATATTATATATATTAGAGTCATAAACAAGGGCAGGGAGAGTGTCCTCGCATAAGAGTGATGTCACATGAGCGATATCCTCGCAGAATAGAGGGGCTCACCCCTGGTATTGATGACGAGCGTAATGCCATTAGTCAGTAGAGATAGACTCCCCCACGATTCCCTAAAGAATAAGTGGTTAACAGTCTCCCTTAGTCTTTCCAAAGTCTAGGTCCGAAAAACCTCTATAAATACTTCTTCCCTAAGGGGTGAGGGTGCAGATCCTAACGAACACATATTACCCAAAACACAACGCTTCACATCTAACCTCTCAACTCACGCGAACAGATTCTTTGACAGTCACAATCCTAAATTATATATTTTACAAAAATATTATTATTATTATGACAACGTTTTTTCAAAGATGAATTCACCTACGACTTTTACATGTAGATTTACCATTCAATCTTACTTTAGAATTTAATTACACATTTTAATGTAAGAATAATTATCCACATAGATTTTAATCGGAGACAAAAGCAGGTGGAAATTCTTCACGAAATTGATTTCCTGTAAATTATTTTCCAAAACCCATGGAAAAATCAGCTTGAAAATTTTAATGAATTCCATATATTCAACAATTCCATTTAAAAGATCTAAAATAGATAAATATAAAATTCTGAGTACTTCCAAGTACATGATTTATTAACATAAATGTATTACATTATGATTTACTTTTTCCAAAAGTCACAAACAGCAGAACCATGAGAAAGAACCCTACACGGTCCAGATTTTACTATATACCAATTGCAAGGATCACATACATTATAATCTCTACTTGCTACATATATGTCATAATAATGGAACCCGCCATTCCATTGAAAGGAGCAATAATACAGTGTGTGGCCAATGATGCTAATTTTAAAATTCCAACCAAAACTTTCACCATGATGAAGAACATGAACTCCCAAATCATCATCTGCAGATTTGCAGTGAACGGTTAAGTCCAGATTTTGTTCTAAGTTGTTAAGAATACTCACACGCACTCCTAAAGTAGCGTGTGCTGATAACAATGTCAACACACACAGCAAAAATAGTTTTTGAGTAAATGGACTCATTTCTCCTTTGGTTTATCTAACAAGGTTGATATAATTGTTAAATCAAGAACATGTATTTATAGGAGGTTTTATGAAGATATATAAAATATTAATGTAATGTATGTATTTATTAATATGTTTAATATATATTATTAAATATATTATTTTGGAGTATATAATTATAAAAAGTCATTTGTGAAAAAGTATTAAGTCAATGCATTGCTTTTTGAATATGGCTTTTAAAATATTTTGTTTCAAGTTTTGTAATCACAAAAATGATTATAATATATTTTGTTCATCTCATTATTAATATTAATTTTGTTTTTTGCAATTAAATGGTGTAAATATTTTATTTTAAAAATGAATTTTGTTTCTTAACTTTTTTATTTGATAATATTATATAGAAAATATTAAATGTTTTTGCAATAACTAAACAATTTTAAAATTTAAAAAAATATAAACTTGTATTTTCTTTTAAAATGTAATAAAGTATAATTTAAATAAAAATTAAATAAAACCATAATAAAACTATAAATATTTAAATACATTTAAAAGAAAAAGGGTACATATTGTTATAATACATGATTTAGTGCTAGACCTCATAACACACTATAATATGTTTTAGCTTTTTTATTTTATATTCCAATTTTTATTTTATTTTGTCACTTTGTTTTAGCCTTCATTTTTTTTCTTTCAAAAAACAACGTTTTGAACTAAAGGTTAGTTTGAAATATCTGATTTTTACAAGTGGCGTTTTTCGTTTTAATTTTTATCAAATATTTTTTATATGATATATTTAGGAAAAACATTCTTTTTCTTTTACCAATTTTTTGAAATTGCATTACCAAATTTATGATTTTATATTCATTTTTACCAAATTGCATTACCAAATTTAGATATATCCAGTATAATTCTAAATTTTACTTGCATTTTTACCCATAGTTTAAAAATATTTGGTAGATAATATGTGTTTTTATCGATAATTTTAAAATTTTCGATAAAAATACATATATTTATACTGAATATTTACAAATTGTTAGTAAAACAATATACATGTATATCAGATTTTTTTTTAAATTGTCGATATATATATATATATATATATATATATATATATATATATATATATATATATATATATATATATATATATATATATATATATATATATATATATATATATATATATATATATATATATATATATATATATATATATATATATATATATATATATATATATATATATATATATATATATATATATATATATATATATATAGGGGTGTAGTATGATATTTCAATAAATCTAGTAGGTTAATATTTTTTAAAATATTTTGGGTTTTTTGTGTAGTGGGGAGTGTTGTACCCCAAAATTTGACCGACCCCTCTAGCATATTTTTCTTTTTTTTTTTTTTTTTTTTTTTTTTTTTTCATCTGCATCAGTATAAATAAAAAATAAATATATCATATAAAATATATTACATGGCATAAATCATTTGCATTTTATACAAAGAAATGGAAAAGAAGAAAAGTGAATAAAGTATATTTCATAGGTTACACAAAAAATAAATGAATTGGAAAAATGAATAAGGTGGGGTTTGAACCCACCACCTTTTGTTCCATCATCTCACTCCTTACCACTTGGCCAGAAATGCTTTTTGTGAACACAAGGGGGTGAAAAGCTATGCATATTACAAGAAAAGAATAAAAAGGCGTGTGAAAATAAAAAACGATGGATTCTTGCTCCCACCAGGTTCGAACCCACCCCCATTTAGTTACACTTTTCCATCCCTACCACTTGGCCAGAAGCGCTTAGTTTTGGACGCTATGAAGAGAAAATGAATACATGTTAAAACTAAAGCAAAAGCTGAGCAGAATTAGAAGAGCCAGATGACCATACGTGAAGACTCAGAGGGTGGGGAAGGATTCATCATTTTGAATGAAACGAGATTCGTTCTTGTTCATTTTTTTTTCACGAGGATCAATTTTGGTATTTGTTAGTTTTCGTTTTGGAGTGATAGTGTTCAATTTACGGATGAAATTGCCAAAAGATGGGAGGGAAATAGAACTAAGTTTGAAGCGTGCTCCACATTGCTATTTCAAGGCCAGACATCTATGGAGTACAACTACTGAGGCCCTCTGATTCTTTCCCCATTTGGGCGAACAAGCAGCCTCTACCAAGCCCTAGCCTGAGCTGCTACTACAACAAGACAAGAAGAGGACACGAAAAAGGAGAAAAGCTCAGCAGGAGGGAAGAATTCAAAAATCCCAAATCAAAGGATATATAAGGATAGGTTAGAAGCCATTACAAAAAACCCTAGCAGCCACACTCCTCACCAGACCTCATAAAATTGTTTGAACTTTTTTGAAGCTTCTTTCAAGAGGAAACCGGTTGCAGCTTGAAGCAGAGAGAATTCCTCAAAATCTTTTGGCTGTTGAGATTCCTTACCAGGTATGGATATCTTAAACCTTTTCTTTGTGCGCATAAATCATGATGGGATTTTGTTTTGTTAAGTTTATTTTGATCTCTTAAATGCTGAAGATAAAATACATATGCCATAAAAGGTTCATTTCTGGATCTTAATGACTTTTTTTGCAAAATGTATGTATCATGTGTTTGGCTAGCTGTACTGATGTTGTTAAGCTTAAAATGATTAAGAGCACTGCCAGTTTTTGAGTTCATGACCTTTTCCATATTTCTATTTAAGTAAATTTGCTGAGTTTTGGTTTTAGTTTTTTTGTTATGCTATTATGAAATGCTGATTGTTTTGTGGGTTGTTGGGATCTGAACTACTTGGTGATTTGCTTGAGTGGTGTGTTATGAACACAGTTTGTATGCATCCTGTTTTCCATCACATTGTTGGTTTTCTTTTTGTTTTAAAGTGATGCTGTCAAGATTGTACATGTTATTTGTGTTCAGCCCTTAACACAGATTTTTGTGTTAGACATCATGAGACTTGCTGCTAACCTTCTATTATTGTGAATCAATCTTTCTTTTAAATAGCATTCATGTCTAGATCTGTTTGTTTGGTTTTGTTTGTTTCTTTTTGTACCTCTAAGCATAATTATAACTGAACCTGTGCACACTGCAATGTCGCCTTGGTTTTTGAAGGGACTGTTAGGAATGCTAGCTAATAGTCCCTTTGCTTTGCTGCTGGTCTGGTTGTGCCAAGTCATGTTGATGGATTAAATTCATTCCTTGTTGAGGGCTTATTTTTAAGGTTCAGTCATAAGAATGTGTTGTGTGTGTTAGTATGAAATGGACTGTTCCTTTGTTGTGTATGTGCTGTGGTTGTGATAGAAGTGCTGACCCGTAACAGTAGGTCGTTTAAGGTTTTATTGCTCTTTCTCATTTAAATTGCCTGCTTTTTGTTTATCCTTTTTTTGGTGTGTTGTTGGATTTCATCACATTAGTGTTGGTCTTGGTGGGAATGTGTCCACTTTGTAGCCTTTGTTTTTGTTCATGTTGCCAATTTCAGAGTTGCAGTTGGTTGAGTATGTCTTTAAATTTTGCTTTCGTGATTGGCCTTGAGATCAAGTAATGCTGCTGTTTGTTTTGTGGAGCACTGCATTCGTTTCATGTTTAAAAGCCTTATGTGTAGCAAAGTGTAATATGTGTGCCTTAATGTGATGGACTGTTTTTTTGTTGTTGTGTGTGAGTTGTGTTCATGTTAGATATGTTGTGTTTTGTTTTCATGTTGTGTTTGGAATAAGTGGTATGCTGCTGCTATTTGTTGACTTGCAATATCCATGACTGAAAATCTGTAGCAGTTGCAAAGTTTTGTTTTGAGTTATGTTTTGAATCAAGCTGAACCAGATTTTTGTTAATTGTTAGATTTTAGTTTAGCAGTTAAATCAAGAATGTCTAAAGGTTGAATTGAGATGCTGAACTTTGGATAAGTACTTAGTGCTGGTTTGATTCTTTTCTCATGAGATGTTGTTCTGTCATTAGAAGCAGTTTTGACTTATTGTTTGATTTGGATTCCCTCTTGGCCTGCTGTTTAGTCATGATTGCATTCACACACACAAGCTAAACTGTTTGTTTTTACTTGCGGTCAGAAGGATTTGTTCAAAGAATAAACTGTTTGCTTATGTTTTGATCCTGGTTTTACCTTAAGCATGTTTTGTCTGTTCATGTTTAAAGGCATAAATGCTCATCAAATTCTATTTTGCAACTGAGACATTTCATTCAATTTAAAAATTCCAACAAATCTTGTTTTGCTTTTACAATGGACATTTGAATCACATCCTTGCTGTCAAGATGAATCATAACAGCATGAGCTTTAGTTCTTTATTGTGCTTAACTGCAGACATGTTTTGATTGATGCTTAAGGAGTTTGCTACCATAATGTTTCTTGTTTGTTTGCTGTTTAGGATCATACATATCTGCCACAACAAGCTTTTTGAATTGGCCAAATCAAACCTGAATTTGTTGTACACATCCACATTCCCACTAAAGCACATATGTTTGCATCTCACATCACTCACCAAGCATACTGTCACCCTGTTAGAACAAATGGTGCATCACAAATTATGTTTTGAAGCTGCTGTTGCTTTTAACACTTTTGCACATGTTCACTTGTTCTTTGAAATCACACTGTACACACATTCAATACTATGTGATGATTGAGTATAGAAGTTTAAGTTGGCATTTGGATTGGCTATTTGAAGTTGTTAAGATCTTGCTGTTCTGAGGTTTTAATTTGTTAATACTGCTGCTGTTGTTATCTTGCATCATTATTTGAATTTCGTTTAGATCTAAGAGAAGAACCATTGAGTACGTTATTTTCATGATTGGCCTTGGAATTAAATGTACTATTGCTGTTTGCTGAGCATAGGGGTATCAGTGCATAAAACTTGTATTTGTGGCAGAGATTTTTTTTTGTTGCTTAAATTATGCCCTGAGCCAGAACCACAACCAGGTTTTTGCTAACTGTTTGGCATATAGGTTAACAAGATCTTTAGAGCAAGTTGATAGCAGGGCTGCTATTCTATTGTTGTTTTGTTTGCTGTGCATG